CACGCCGCACCCCCGTCCTGCACTCCCGGGACCCCCGACCCTCACTGCCCCCGCTCCTTCCCCACTGCTCCGGTGACTGCCCCGGTTCGGCACCCCCTGGCACCCTCCTGTATCTCCCCATGGACCCCGGTTACTCCCTCCCAGCGCACTCATACCCACTAGTACCCAGTAACTTCCCCGAGTACCCTCCTAGATGCCCCCTGTGCCCCAGTAACTGCACCCAGTATCCTCGTACCCACTGGTACCCCGATAAGTGCCCCGACACCCTCCTAATCCCCCCTATGTGCCCCAGTACTGCTCTCCAGTACCCTCTTAGCCCCTGGCACCCCAGTAGTGCCTTGGCTCTGCACCCCCAGTACTGCCCCAGCCCTGCAGTAGCTGCCCCTCTACCGTTGTCCCCCTCCCGTACCCCAAATCTGCCCCAGCTTTCCACTCCCAGGCGTTGCTCCCAGTATGCCTCTACTTCTCCCCATGTACCCTGGTGCCCCAGTAACTGCCTCCTGTGCCCCATCACTGCCCGGTCCTTGCCCCCCACCCCTCACCCCACACATCTCCAGCCACTCTGATCCCACAGGTGCCTCCACGCACAGAGGAGCTGTCGGAGCTGTACCGGGAGCTGAGCCAGCACCCGGAGCTCAGTGCTGCCTGCCTCGGCCCCGACCTCACCACCCAGTACGGGGGCAAGTACTGCAGCCTCTACACCGGTACGGGGACGGGCTGTGCCCTCTGGGGACTGGGGGGACCCCGGGTGGTCCCTGCCTGCCTGGTGGGGAGACAGCTGGTGTCCTCACCCCCCTCCTCAGAGTGGTCGCAGCGGGACCTGGCGAGGGCCGAGAACATCAATTTCTGCCGCCAGTACCTCCTCTTCCACGATGGAGCCTCCATCGTCTACTCAGGGCCTGTCGGCACCTGCTCCGAGATCAAGGGCGAGTGAGTCTCATGCCGCTCCCCACACGGGATCCCCGGGGTGCTGATAGAGGGGCTGATGGGCATCCACCCACTCACAGGCTGCTGAGCCGCGAGTCCCCCAGCGGGACACTGAAGGCCGTCCTGTGCAAAGTCCCTGGCAAGGAGAAGGAGAAAGAGAAGGAGAAGCAGTTCCTGGAGGTGAGGAGGGGTCCAAGGGGGGGCTGGATACTTGCTGTGTCTCAGGGCCAGATCCACGCTGTGTCTTGGGGCCGCCCCACGATCTCTGTCCCCAGGTGTGGGATCAGAACCGCAAGGTAAAGAGCATTGACCTGACAGCGCTGGACAAGCACGGCAACGTCTGCGACGATGGTGAGGGGCCTGGGGATGCCAGGGGCTGTGGGGTCCTGGGGGAAGGGATGGCTGGTGCTGACCGTGCCCTGCAGACCAGTTTGGGTGCCTCGCCTGGTCACACTCGGAGACCCACCTGCTCTACGTGGCGGAGAAAAAGCGTCCCAAGACCGAGTCCTTCTTCCAGAGCGAAGCCCCCGAGCTGGGCACCTCTGATGAGGACACAGGGCAGCCCAAGAAGGAGGATGCGCCCCTCAAGGTGGGGTTCACCCACCCACCCTGGGGCAGGTGGGGGCTGGACAGGTGGCTGTGGGGCTGACGGGGCTATGCCACAGGGTGAGCAGTTCGTGTACCATGAGGACTGGGGGGAGACTCTGAGCACCCACAGCGTGCCTGTCCTCTGTATCCTGGACATCGAGGGCAGCAGCGTCTCAGTGCTGGAGGGCATCCCTGAGCACCTCTCTCCTGGCCAGGTCAGGATGGGGAGCCGCAGGGAACTGAAAGAGGGAGATTTTGGGGGCCAGCAGCCATCTGAGCCACTCATCTCCCCTCTCCCTGCAGGCTTTCTGGTCCCCTGAGGACACCGGTGTGGTGTTTGTGGGCTGGTGGCACGAGCCCTTCCGCCTGGGGCTGCGTTACTGCACTAACCGCCGGTGAGTCCTCGTGGGGCACCCCACAGCCTGAACCCCACAGTGAGTCCGTGTGGGGCACCCCACCCCACAGCCCCACCATGACACCCCTGTGTGCCGGCAGGTCAGCACTCTTCTATGTGGACCTGACGGGTGGGAAATGTGGTGAGTGGCACAGACCCCAACCCCGCCGGTGCCCCGGCTCCCCACAGCCCCTCACTGTCCCCCTGTGCCCATGCAGAGCTGCTCTCTGAGGACACCAAAGCCGTGTGGTCCCCACGGCTCAGCCCCGACAGCTGCCGCATTGTCTACCTGGAGAACGATGTCCTGGGCCCCCACCAGCAGTGCAACCGCCTCCGCATGGTGAGCAGCACCGGGGGGACACCAGGGGGACACCGGGGGAGGTAGCAGGGTGCCTCTGCCAAGGTGGGGGCTGGCAGGAGGGCAGTGGTGCCCCCTCTCTGTGCTGCAGTGGTGGCAGGCGGGATGAGACCCTGCAAAACTCACCCCATTCCGTGTCTCCCACAGTACGACTGGTACACCAAACAGACCAGCACGGTGCTGGAGGCTGTGCCTCGGCAGGAGTGGGGTGAGTACAGCCATGGGGGTTTCGGAAGGGACACAGGGGGACACTGAGTGCCACCACTGTCATCATAGGTGCCTTCCCGGGAATCTACTGCGGGGCACTGCCAGGGATGTGCTGGGCAGCCGACAGCCGCCGAATCCTGCTGGACACGGCCCAGCGCAGCCAGCAGGTGAGGGGCGGGGGGGGGGGGCCCCTGGGGGGGCCAGGCCAGGTCAGGGCTCTACTGAACTCTGCCCTCGTGCCCCTAGGACATGTTTGTGGTGGACACGGCGACGGGCAGCACAACCTTGCTGACAGCTGGTGAGTGATGGGCCAACGGGGCCATGCCGGTGCCAGAGGTGGGGAGGGGGTCACACCTGCAGGTCTGACCTCCCTACTCCCCAGATGGCCCCCGGGGAAGCTGGTCTGTCCTGACCATCGACCGGGACCTCTTGGTGGCCAGATTCTCCACCCCTAGCTGCCCCTCCATGTTGGTAAAGTCACGTCCCCCTCTCCAGTGCCCACCAGCCCCTTGGTGCAGGCGCTGACCCTTCTTCCCAGTGCCCACCTTGACGTGAGCACTGACCCCTCTCCCTGCACAGAAAGTGGCCGTCCTGCCCGCTGCCGGCCATGAGGCACAGGTACAGTGGATCTGCCTGCAGGACGCACCCCCTGTGCCCGGCATCAGCTGGGGCATCCTTACCCTGCAGCCCCCTCCAGAGCAGGAGCACCCCCAGTATGGTGAGTGCCTGGGGAGGCAAGGCTGGACTCCACCACCCCAACTGATCCCTGACACCCCCACCCTGCCTCTGTAGGGGGCCTGGACTTTGATGCCATCCTGCTGCGCCCGACTGAGGGCCCCACTGCCCAGAAGCCCCCGCTGGTCGTGATGCCCCATGGTAAGAGCTTGTCCCTACCCTGCTGTACCCCAGCTGGGCAGCGTCACCCCCCTGCCTTTGCCATTTGCAGGGGGTCCCCACTCCGTATTCACGGCCGGGTGGGCGCTGTACCCGGCGGCGCTGTGCCGCGTGGGCTTTGCTGTGCTGCTGGGTGAGTGACACTGGGGCTCTGGGGCACTGCCCACGGAGGGCTGGGGTGGGGGCACAGAGGAGGAAGGGCTCTGACGCTGCCCCCCACGCAGTGAATTACCGCGGCTCACTGGGCTTTGGCCAGGACAGTGTGGCCTCCCTGCCCGGCAACGTGGGCACGCAGGACGTGCGCGATGTGCAGGTACGGCCCGGCACGTGGTCCTGGGGCACACACGTGCTCCCATGGGTACCCCGAGTAGAGAAAGCAGAGCTGCCCACCTCAGTGGGTGTCCCCTGTGGTGGCAGCTCTGCGTGGAGAGGGTGCTGCAGGAGGAGGCGCTGGATGCCAGCCGGGTGGCACTGGTAGGTGGCTCACACGGCGGCTTCCTGGCGTGCCACCTCATCGGGCAGTTCCCCGACACCTACCGTGCCTGCGTGGTCCGCAACCCCGTGGTGAACATTGCCTCCATGGTGGCCACCACAGACATCCCTGACTGGTGAGCACTGCTGCCCGTGATCTCCCAGGCTCCCTGCCACGCCAGCCCCACACATGCCCCTGACTCTCACCCGCAGGTGCCTGACAGAAACAGGGCTGCCCTACGCACTTGATGCCCTGCCAGACCCAGCCCAGTGGACAGAGATGCTGCACAAGTCACCCATTCGCTATGTCGACCGGGTATGTCCCCATCTCTGTCCTCATCCCTGTCCCAGTCCCTGCCAGCAGTGCCAGTGCTGAGGCCATGTCACTCCTGCAGGTCCGTGTGCCTGTGTTGCTGATGCTGGGGGAAGACGACCGGCGTGTGCCCCCCAAGCAGGGGCTGGAGTATTACCATGCCCTTAAGGCCCGGGGTGTCCCCACACGGTGAGTGGAGTGCTGGGTGCCCAGATGATGGGGGTGCAGGCATGGCACTAACCCCTCTCTCTCCTCCACAGGGTGCTCTGGTACCCAGGGAACGGCCACGCGCTGGATGGTGTCGAGGCTGAAGCTGATGGCTTCATGAACATGGCACTGTGGCTGCTCAAGCACCTGGAGTGCTAAGGGCCCCCACTGCTGCCATCCCCCCAATAAACGATGTAGCTCAGCATCCCGGTGTCTCTGGTGGTGGTGCCCCAGGAGCTGGTGGCCACTGGACCTTTCCCCTGCGTGGGTGGGCAGTTGTGCTGCCAGGAATGCGTTGGGCCATGTGGAAGGGTGAGCCCTGCCTGGCTGTCCTGGGCCGCAGGGAGCAGCTGGAGGGCTGGCACCGGCGGGGGCGCTGGCGTCGGGCCGCTCCCACGTGCCTTGGCGGGCATCCAGCTGTGAGCAGCCCGCAGGCGGCCCGGGGGCACAGCACGGCCCATGGCCACAGGGAACCAGCCGGGCATGGAGGTGGGCAAGGGGGCTCGGGGGGGTCTGCGTGGGTGAGCACAGCCCCGTTTCAGGAGCTGGGCATGGGGGTGAGCTCTCCCCCTCCAACATGCCTCTTCCCCCGGCCCAGGCGGCCGGCGGCCCCGCTGCCTGCTACCGGGAGCTGAGCCAGTTCCCTGCTATCACCCGTGCCGCCCTCGGGGCCGCGGCGGGGGGACAGACCTTCCTGCTCTACACCGGTGAGTCGCAGGCTCGGCCCCCGCTGCGCCT